AAAGCACGAGACAGAGTTTAAAATCCATATTCTGCTTATAACAGGCACTCTTCATTTTGTCGCTGGAGTGATTCTATTTCCTAAATTTTTTTATCAACTTCCTGAGAACCGTGGTCTCTGATGGAGGAAAACCCACAATCTTGGAGTCCCACAGTGTTAGTGATTGAATGCTGCTGCTTAAGGAATGCTGTTGAATTTAGACCACCTCAGAGTTACTTTTTAAGGTGTATGACTTTGCAGATTCTTCCAGTTCTGCAGCTAATCAAATAATTATTTTTTTGGTGGACTGTCCACTTTTTTTTTTAAGGCCCAGCATGTCACTGGTAAATTACGCCTTTTCAATTTAGAAGTCTTTATTCCAAAAAGCCCCCTTATTGTGGGGCTTTCTGCTTCTTTTTTCTTTATGAACATTTGAGTTTTTCTGCCCTTTTTCCAATCAGTTTTCTCTTGTCCTTTTCCTTCCTTACTCCGTATTTTCTTACGCATCTCCTCACACTATGCCATGCTTTAGCGGCAGCTTTGGGATCTTTTTCTCAGGCGTGCAGGAATGTCTGTGTTAAATGTTGCCCTGGTTTGAGGAAGCTCTTTTATTGTCATGATACTTTCATAGATGCTTCTCTATGCAGATATTACCTTATTTTTGTTTCCTAGCATGTTTTTTATTGATGTATTTAATGTAGGTCGCGTTAGTGGCAAATGAAACAAAGGAGAGGAACTCAACTTAGCACTCATACTGACTGCTTGTGAAGGGAAGGCCTGGGAATTTGATTCCTCTACAACTTTTTCACTGACTCAGAGGTTTTTAATTCTGGAATATTTTCTGCATTTTTCTAATCAATGCCTTGATTTCACAAGTGATCCAAATGACCCATCACCGGGGAAGGGTTCCCGTTCCTATGTCCCGGCGCTGGGAGCGGCAGCAGCGCCAGGGGCGGGCGGGGGTCCCGCTGGCGGCTCTTGGGGGTCGCTGTGGGGAGCACTCCTCTCACCTTGCTCCTCGTTAGTACATTGGTGAATATCTCCGCCTGTCACACGGGAAACCACGGTTTAATTCTCTCACGGGGAGGCCGCCTTGCCTTTTATCGCCGGGGAGTGTTCCTGCTTCATCCTCTTCCCATCTCAGCCCCGTCCGCGGTGGACCGACCGGGGAACGGTTCCTGGTTGCTGTTCGTTTCGGTGGTGCTGTTGCCCCGCCGGGTGGTGCGCGTCCGTGTGCGGGGTGCAGCCTCGCCAAGCCGCTCCGTGCCGCCGGAGGGACCAGGCAAAGAAAAACGAAAGGTTTGAAAGTCTCAATTTTTTAGGAATACTCCTCACCCCGGTTAGTGCCCTTGCTGCTCTACCACGGCTCCATGAAACAACTCGCCGAGGCAGTGTCTAGGAAGAGCGATCGCGTAATGCTGCGGAGTGGCGCTTTGCAGCGGCTGCACCCACAGCACGTCCACCAGAGCTCCTCGGGTGCTTGCACCGACAACTCGTATCACAAGTCGGCCGGTTAGCTCAGTTGGTTAGAGCGTGGTGCTAATAACGCCAAGGTCGCGGGTTCGATCCCCGTACGGGCCACTTTCGATGATTAGGGTTTTTTTTGTTTTTTTTTTCTCTTGGACGTCGCATGAGGAGATCGCTGACTTAGTAGATTATCACTTTATTTTGTTTTGGGGGCGGAGGTGTAACACGGAAAGGAACGCGGTATCCCCCCACAAGAAGCCTGACTTGGGTGGTCATGGGGGGGACAGCGAGTGCGAGCCGGGCCGGCGCTTGTCCCCACCCTGCCCGGGCACGGGGCCAGGCTAGCCGTCACCCACATGCCAGAAACCCGCGGCAGCCCAGGTGGTAGCACCTGGCAATGGGGAGACATCATTTTTATATCTAACTCCTCGTTAGTATAGTGGTTAGTATCCCCGCCTGTCACGCGGGAGACCGGGGTTCGATTCCCCGACGGGGAGGCAGAGCTGCCCGTTTTTAACTCGTTCGGGGGGAAATGCAATTGCTCCCTACTTGCTTTTTCCCTATCGGCTCCTCAACGAAATTCGTGCTGGGAGACAAGAAAATCAGTGCAAAGCTGGGAGGACCGTAAAGGCACAGCTGGATGCCTTAGGGCAACACACAGCAGCGTCCTGATGCACCATCGACCTCCTTGGCAATGGAGCTGGCATGGGCATCATTCTGTTGTCTTGATCGCAACACAGATGCTCAGTGTCATTTTCTCCTCAAACGGACAGCCATCCCTCTGTTCTCAGGAATTAACAACCCACATTCTCACAGTTATTGATCAGCTGCTGCAGCACATCTTAAACTATTTCCCCCCTCTATAGTCAACAAGACATCATCACAATACATGCGATTAAATATCACCTTTTCCACAGCTTCCTGAAAGCACAGTTTAAGGTTTAATATAATACCAAATATTCCCTTTATTCTTTAAAAAATGTTTTTAAGCATCCCAACATTTTATAAGGCTAAGCAGTGCTATTTAGGCACAAATAATGCTTTCATTTCCCTGAACACATCACAGTAGTTTGCCATTTTGCAGTCATCTAAAGCATGCAGAATAGCCCTGTGAGGCTGTCACCAGTCCTTCACAAGGCAACAGCAACAGGGGGTGACAACGTCAGCCCATCAATCTAAAAGAATGAGTAGCCCATCAATCTAAAAGAATGAGTTCACACATATGCAAGTTCTAACAAGTCTACAGCATAATTAAGGCAGGAGGTAAGAGTATAAATAGACACACTGAAACACCACACAACATCAGTTTGAATGGGCTGGTTTGCAGGCATTCCTGTTCTCTCAGAATGGCTCAGTGAAAGCAATCCAACATCTTCATGATCCGTGTCAGTGCACCCAGTCTTTGGGATTTCGCAGAACCTCCAGGATTTCTGCTTCTTTGGAGCTCTCTGGTGGGTTGTGCATGTACTCCCACCTGCAAGGAGAGGGGAAACTCATTCAGACAGCCCATTCTCCTGCACCAAGGCTGTTTAGACTGGACTTGCCTTTTCTAAGGATGCAAAGCTACAGACATAGTTGATACTCTTGCCTGAGGTGACAGATATGGTTACAAATCACAAGTTCAGTAAAAAGAAATAATAATGCCACCAGGGTAGATGAGAGAGATGTTAGCTTCATCTTTTTATGAATTTTTGAAAAAGCTGGAAGGACAAGGAAAAAGGAAAGAGCAGTGTCCCATTCCCCACAAGGCATGCAGGTTTATATTTGCAAAAATCTTTTAACAGTCTCTTGTGACACACTAGTATCACATGGAAGATGAATAAAAAAAGGAACCCACAGAATTTTGACAGTGACACAAGACATTTTTCCAGAATCTGGACTGGAAACTCCTGCTTTTAAAAAAAAGTGCATTTCATTGAAAAGGCAATTGAAAGAGGCACAACAGAGAAAGTATGAGCAGTCACAGAGGGATGGGTACATCCTCCTTCCATTCCCCCCCCCCCCCGGAATGACCCATTCCCGCTGTGAAGTGAGTCAGTTACATTGATGAAAAAGAGCAAACCCGGACAATCCCAGAAATTAAATCAAAACATAGGACATGCTACACCACCAGGTCAGGGATACATCAGGTGTCAGTGGGATGAAAATAAACTGCCTACACGGTTACAGGGCAGCAGGCGGTTTTCCTAGCAGAGGGAAGTCATTAGTGAGCTTTATGGAATTCATTATAGGATCTGTACTACCCACATACCCAAAAGCAACCTGAAAGTAAGAATAAATAGTAAATGACTGAACTTGCTGGTGTCATAAGCATAAGCAAGATGGATTAAAACCTAGAAAGACAGTTAAAAACAGTATTTAGCCAAGCAACTGAGCAGTAAAATGGCAGGTGAAATTCACTGTTGATTGATGTGATGGACACAGGAAAAAGGTTGCATACAGATTGAGTTAAATTTTATTGCCCAGAAAAGACCTTGGCATCCTAACAGTTCTATGAAAAAGCCACCTCAATGCTGAACAGCAGTCAAAACCAGCAAACAGAATATTAGGATTATTAAAGGAATAATGAATTAAAACATCGCTATGCCACTGTGAGTCAGCAGCACACCTGAATCTTGTATACAGATATGTAGCTTACATTGTCTGTTCCTTATCCCCCGTTTAGAAATGGTACAGAAAACTTAAGCCTAGAGAAAGTGGCCAAAGTATGAAACAGCAACTGTACAGAAGACTAAAAGAGCAGGAGTTGTCAGCCTGGAAAACAAACAATGAAAAGTCCCTAGAAGCCTATAATATAACAACTGTTATGGGGAAAATAACAGGAAATCATGTTACTCAGTGAAAAGTCAGATGAAGTCATCAGGTTCAAGTAGAAAACAAAGAGGTACTTTCTCATGCAACACACAGTTAAACTGTGGAGCTCCTTGCCACACATTTGGAAGGACTGCCAGAAGCTCTCAGGGTTTCTAAGGGCTACTAAACAAAAACCCATGGAGCGAGAACAATAAATCTATCAAGAGGAACTAAGCATGAAAACCATCAATTTTTTGCCAGAAAATCTCTATGCTACACACTAGTGACAACTAGGTGAGTATAACAGAGAAGCATCTGCATTTGTAGAATAGAGAACTTTACTTGTCCAGTTCTTGTATCAGGCATGAACTCACCACTGTTAAGAGACTGGAGATGAGGAGAGACTTTTGATTTAATCCTATGAAGTATTTTACTAAGAACAGTGCCTACTGCAACCCCACATAACTACACCCTTACCTTGCAGTCAGTGGCAGAGACATAAGAATGCTTTCAATTCTTGATCCTGGTGTCAGGAGGCCAAACTTTGTACCTCTGTCGTAAAGCAAGTTGAACTCTACATACCTATGGGAATGAAGAGATGCAACAGAAAAAAAAAAAAAAAAAGAGTTTATTAGCAGAAGTTGGCTGTGCTTTCTTCAACTGGCAAACCTCAAACAAAACCAGTCTGTCTTTCTGCTGAGTTGGGGGTCAACTGTTCTTTAGCATCCTCTGCGCAGGAATGCAGGTGTGACCTTGCCACTCCACAGAGCACAGGGAGAAGTGACCTCAGCTAAGAGACTAGAACAGACCAGTTGTTCAAAGGAGAGCAGTCTGCAGGCTCCTGTGCTGTACTGTACTCCTCCCATGCCTCAGCCCTGCTGGCGAGCTCGACACAACGTTTACCTTGGTTCTTCTATTCTTTGTGGGGGTGTCAGACAGAAAGAGGGGTTTTAAAGGTACTGAAAATAACCAGAGAAAAAAATGCTACTGTGCAGTCCTCCATGCTGAAGGACACATAAGCAGCATGGTCAGAAGAGTGTTTCCTGGTTCCTGGGAAGATCTGGAAAGCAGCAGAAGTCAGATAGGTTCAGAGTGCTAGCTGGGACTTGTGATGAAATAAGACCATTTTCTCCTCCCAGCATAGGAACAGAGCTGTGACAATTCATCAGGAATTATCTTGATAGCCAGTACAGGATGTTTGTACTTAAAGATATAGGAAGGGAAAAGCTCTTCTCTCTCTGCAGAAATGGAAAGCTTTACATAGCCCCATAATCTGCAAACAGGCCCAGGGAAATAGACAGGCCTCAACAGCTGGTCCTGGATGCAACTTAGAAAAGCTACTCCCCTTTTTAAACTTTGCACGTTTGCTAAATCACATCCAAGACTGGATCCTGAAAGCCCAAGGTTCCCAAGAACAGTCCCACCAAATTAAGGACGCTTGCTTAAGTGACCAACATCTGCAGGCCAGTGATCTGAACTTGAATGCTTACACTCTTTCCATGCCAGTCTCACATTTCTCTGCAGAACAGGCAGAAACTCAAGACTCTAGTTAAGCACAATGCACATGTAATTTCATTTGTCCATATACTCACACAATCACAGGACATGGAGAACAGAGTACAACTGTATTGACCAATGTACTCAAGCTTTTGCACCATTAACAGTTGGTGACATTAACAAGCATCCTCCTAAGTCTTTTACAGTAACCTTGGACCATGCCAGAATAAAAAAATCCAACCCACTGTATTCCTTTGTACGAATCCTCAATTCCTTTACAGGAATTTCAATGCCAAGATCAGATGGAATTTGTATGTAAGGAGCTGAAAGCACTCAAGTACAGTTATTTCCTGACTTTTTGCTGCATTACTTAATAGGAAGCACCATTCCCTCACCCTTAGCTCCCCAAGTGACAGGGCAGCCTCTCCTAGGTTGCAGGAGAGAGCAGGATTCAGGACACCAAGAACACCCACACCCTTTTACCTGTTACACAGCAGAAGCTTCTCTTGCTATGTGAAGGAGTTTGAAAGAAACAGTGGCATTTTGTTTGGGTTGCTTGTGTTGCAACATGAGAGAGTGGGAAATGCCTTTTTGCATCCTCTTTGGCAATCTAGCGTTGGATTTCAGAACTAGTGCTATGCACAAAAATGCTGAAATTCATGAGCTTTTTTGGCCCACACAACCTGTAACCAAAAGGTTACAGTTCATATTTTTTCTTGCCAGCACAGTGCACCTCCTGTGTATACTTTTGTTCCTCCAGTACTCACCGTCCTCTCCGAAGCTGTTGCCATAGCTTTTCCTCTGGTGTAAAGGAGTCATGGCAGTGCTTTTTCACAATGGGAATGTAACAAGGCACGACAGCTTTGGCACAACTCTTTACAAACTGGAATACTTCCTCCTTGGAGGGAGAGTCCATATCATCAAAGAATATGCCTCCAATCCCTCTTCGCTCGCCACGGTGTTTGATATAGAAGTAGTCATCACACCTAGAAGAAACATCAGATGCTTACTAACATGGTCCAGAGTATTCAAAGACATGAACAGAACTCCAAAGAGCTGTTTGCTGCAGGACAGAAACAGTGAAATACTGACCACCAGGTCAGTTTCTGCAGGGCTGGGTGCCCCACTGTTTCCCTGACTGCCCAGAGCCAGGATGGTGCAGCATCATCTGGAAAGCACTCCCGTGTTACTTGCAGTAAAAGCTCTGAATAAATTATCTCTGTAAAGCTACACCTAATCATAAAGTCGCTGAACAACATGAAGGATGCATCCATGGGGGTTGATCCAATCCATAGCCTCTCCCTACTCGGAACAGGGACATCTGATTTCAAAACTTTTGAAACTAAGGGCTCTCAATAGATTCCACTCCCAGCATTATATGTAGTTCCCAAGTTATTTGGACTATAACTTGGAAGATAATTTATTCTCTTTGCCATTCAAGTAAAATAATTTTCTTCATCAAAACAAAGGTAATCTAAGGCCCCAAGATCAGATAAGAAAGCAATTGTCAAGGCACCTTTCCTTGGAAAAAGGCTTTTTAATAGTTAAAACTTGGAAAATTGAGTCATTATAGCAGTTGCTTTTCATGAGTCATGTTTAAGTTTATAAATGCGTAAGGACATCTTACCCTAAAAGCAATTAATCTCTTTTGTATTTATGGGGAGTATTTAGTTGTGAAATTACTGTAACTTAAATGACTCAATCCTATCTCTCTTATAATTCCTTGCTTGGGCATGCGAGTCTTCACATGGAGGAGAAAGCAAAGGGAAGTAGGAAACAGAAACCATCAACATCAAGAAAACCTGGCCTTCCTTTAGGGTTTGTTTTCCATACAGGACCAGATTTCCATATATCCACAATCGTTCCTAAGCATTATATATAGCATGGCCATAACATGAGAGACATGGAGATTTAACAGACAACCTACACTATTTTTTTATTCACTGGGATGATCAGTGTTTTTTATTTTATGATAGCAGGAAGAATTAGGAAAAAATGCCAGGTCAAAAACATAGAAGAAAATAAGCCTGACAAAAATCTTAAACCTAGATCAGGTAGACAATATGATAAATGCAATAACCACAAAAATCTTTAGGAAAGTGGTAAAATGTCTCCTACCCCTGTAACTGTCATTGCTAACTTTATGCTACAAAGAACCTGACTCTTAAGGCAGATTCTCTAAACTACCATGCAAAAAATCCTCAGACAGCAAGACTGTAATCTCAAGGCTCTAAGATGTGTCTCTCTACTAAGTGGTTGCCACCCAAACTACAACACCCAGTTTATCTCCTGTCCTCAGACAAGACCTGGTAGCTTACAAAAGGGTACCCCTACCTTCAGCTTGTGGCAGATAGGATTATCAGACACAGAACACCAAGTTCCCACTTAATAGTGGAAGATCCCATCACTTGTATCTCTCAGCTCAAGAAGAACATTCAAAGTTTGCATCTTAGAAAATGTACTGTTGAACTCTCAGTGAATATGTCACCAGAGAAGAAATACAGCTTCATCAAATTATGAAGCTTCTACATTAAGGACAAGATCTTTACTTACCTGGAAATTAGGAGAAAGAAAAAAAAAAGCCATGAAGGCCAGACTGAAGGCAGAAAAAAAAAGTGGGGTTTTCAGAACTGCTATGATGGCCCAAGAGCTTACATTGAATCATGCACATTTACCATGAGTTCACTGTAAGCAGAATTTGTGCAAGTCCATAGGGCAGAAGTCTTGTCCTAGTTTAGCACCAGAGGCTAAAAGGAATTGTAAGTTGCTTAACAAAGTCAGCTTGGTTTTTCTTTGGGCTATAGATTTGCGATCCTAGTTGTCAGCCCTCTGATTTGAAAAGTCCAGGATTCTGTAAATAAGATCTTTCTTTAGACAATGCTTTGTCCCAGTACACTTCTGATTTTCATTAGGGCTTTCTGATACTTTTCAAAAGGAAGCAGAACCTACAGTTCCTAGCATACACTTCACTGCCAACATCCAGTGTTACTTTCTGCTCCCCCCAAGCACACCTTTCCCCACATACCATTTCTTGTACTTGGGATACAGCTTCAGATCGTGCTTGTCACAGGCTTCTTTCAGAGTTTTGTGAAAATGAACAGCATCCTCTTCATTCAGGTAAGTTGGAGTGAGGTCAGTCCCACCACCAAACCACCACTGTTTAGTTCCTATAGCAGAGACAAGCAGCAACATTTTTCTTTTAAACTTCTGAACAGCAACTTGTTGCTAGTGGTTCACCAATAACTAACAACTACTTTTACAGTACAAAACAAAATCATTTTTCAGTGGTGTCCCTAAACTTCTATAGTAAAAGATTTGACTACAAGGTAGCACGATAATCAGTGACTTCAGGAAAAGATGAAACAAACTTCAACGTAGTGAAAATCATTTTGCACCACTGACTCTAACTATAGGATAGCAGTTTCACAAGATGGGCTGGAGACTCTTGACATAGCTGGAAGCAAACTCACACTGGTTCTTGATCTCTTACCCCAGCCATGCATTCACACTCCCTTTGGGCAGTCAGACATTTCATACATTCTTCATTGGATTATAAACCTTACCATCTGCTTCTTCAATTTCAAAGTATCTGTAGTTGAAGTGCATGGTTGGAACATGAGGATTCTTTGGATGGATAACAGAGCTCACACCCATGGCACAAAAAGGCAGCTTCCCTAGATAAAAAGATGCACAGAGAAAACTCTTCAGTTTTTCAAAAAACTTAATTTGTTATCATTTAAGGAAGATCACTATTTTCCCTTAGGCTCCAAGCCACAACAGGAAAACATCTCATATTGGGTCACCATAATTATTAATCATGGGCAAGTTATTTCTCATTCATACACTTCTGGACACCTAACTCAACTCTCTCTTTGGTATTTGTTCTAAAATGTGACAATACTTTGAAGAACCCACTAGATGAAGACCACTTAAAACATAATGCACTGCTAAGGCTTTCTACCACCCCCAGTCCTCACAACTACTCTTTGCTACACAAACATGTGTTGAGTCCCCTTTAGCCTTCAGGTGTTGTTGGTTTTCTCCCTCCATCTCTTTGGTACATAATTCCTGTACTGTTTCACTGTTGCGCTACAGTGTCATTATTGAGAAACCACCCGTGCCTGAATACATTCCTTACAGCAGCAAGACAGAGAGAGAAGCACTCCTGTGCCGGGCTGTCTAGGGACATGAAAGTCCACCTGTCAGGCTTATTGATTAGAAATCACTATGATACAAATGAAAACCTTTGAGCTCCAATCAGTCTGGCCTTCCTCGTGTTCTGCTCAAAGGCCAGGTTGCTTTCAGAGTACCTGCACAGGAATACTCAGGTGAACTCGTCCCGTCCCCTATCCCAACTGCGCCCTAGATGCCTTACCGTCCTTGGCCTTCAGAGACTTCCCCCTGCTCCGCATCTGCCGCGCTGCCTCCTCCGACAGGAGCCCGGACACGACGGACACGTTCACACCCGCCTTCTCGAAGACCTCGCCATCCTGCAGCACGCAGCTGATGCCGCCTCCGCCTGCCAACGCCAGGCTCCGGGTCAGGATCACCGACGGGTGACCGAGCCCGGGGTGCCGGTGTCCGCGGTCTACCCCGCGGCTCTCCCGTACCTTCTTTCCTTTCCCAGCTGTCAACGACGAAGGAGGCGCCGGGGTCCAGGGCGGCCAGGGCGCGACACACCTCCGCCTGCGTCTCCATGATGAGCAGCTCCATGCGGCTCCGCAGCTCCCGCCGCCGCCGCCGCAGCTCCCGCAGCCCGCTCACCGGCGGCGCCATGAACCGCTGCCGCAGCTCCTTCTCCTCCTCGTCCTCCCGGGCCGCCGCCAACGCGACTTGCCGCCGCCGCCACAGCCCCAGCGCCAGCCCCAGCCCCAGCCCGCCCAGCGCCCCCGCGGCCGCCAGCGCGGCCCGCCGCGCCCCCCGGCCCGCCGGCCCCGGCGGCGCGGAGCCCAGCGCCCGGGCCAAGGCTAGGGCGGGCGGGCCGCGGGCAGCCCCGCGGAACAGGCGCGCAGCCGCCGCCATGACCGGCACCTGCGCCGCAGTGCCGGCGGGGCGGAGCGGGGCCGGGGCGGGGCTGGGGCCGCGCCGGGTATGGACGTGTGTCTACACACGGATTCGATTAGGGCGGAAAGCACCTCTGAGATCATCCAGTCCGGACTGTCGTCTATCACCACATTGTCAGCTAGACCACGGGGTACTATCTGGCGCGTTCTGTCTTCTTTTAAACACCTCCAGGGACAGTGACTCCACCATCTCCCTGGGCGGTCCAATCCAAAGTCTAATAACCCTTTCTGTGAAAAAATTCTTCCTAATGTCAACCTAAACCTCCCCTGGCACAGCTTAACGCTATGTCCTCTTATCATGTCGCTGGTTGCCTGGAAGAGAGTGATCCCCACCTGGCTATAGCCTCCTGTTAGGTAGTTGTAGAAGTGATACAATCACCCCTGAGTCTCCTTCAGGCTGAACAACCCCGGCTCCCTCAGCCACTCCTCATAAGACTTGTGCTCCAGACCCTTCACCAGCTCCACTGTTCTACTTTGGACCTGCTCCAGCACCTCTGGCCTTTCTGAACTGAGGAGCCCTGAACTGGACACAGTATTTGACATGTGGCCTCACCAGTGCTGAGCATAGAGGAAGAATCACTTCACTAGTCCTGCTGGTCACGGTGTTTCTGAAACAGGCCAGAATGCCATTGGCACACAGCTGGCCTGTACATGTCTGTACAGCCCATCCACACTGGCTGTTGTGAAAGACTGCAAGCATCCCATAACCCTCCCATCTGGATCTGTGCTGCCCATTGTGTGTGGGTGTCATGACAAGGGTGAGACATCAATGGATGCAGCACTCAGGTGCCACACCTCGCCTAGTGCAGCTTTGGGAGAGGGGGCTGTGCTGTCCTTGTGCCTGTAAAACATCTCTACACACTGCTTACAAATAAACTGGTATTGTTGATGCAACTACATGGAGCTGCAGAGTTGTTTCGTGAGTAAGGGCTTGTATAGGGCCAGGCATTGCTGGAATAGGGGTAAAGTTGTATTTTACTGAGCTGTCCTGTGAACCATGTGGAATTGCTCTTCTGCATATGGGATTTCTGGTTTTCTACTCATAGTAATGAGTTTTTAGAACCTAAATAGTCTGTGAGACCACCAGTTTAGTGCAATAGGAGTATTTCCCATGGATCTTGGAGGGGAAATGCTATACACCCTTTGTTCTTTCTAAAGTTGAAGGACATTTTCTTTCCTAATATAATGGAGGAACTGGAGACACGTGTGCAGTAAAAGGACTTTGATCTCACTGCAATTACAGAGACATGGTGGGATAACTTGCATGACTGCAGTGTTGTCATGAAGGGCTACACCCTGTTTAGAGAGACTGACCAGAAAGGTGCAGTGGTGGAGTTGCCCCCACTGTGAGAGAGCATTTGGAATGTATCGAGCTCTGCCTTTGGGTGGACAACAAGCAAGTCAAGAGCTCATGGGTTAGGAAAAAAGGCAGATAAATAGGGGTAACACTGTTGTTGGTATTTGCTACACAGCACCTGAGCAGGAAAAAGTGGATGAAGCCTTCTATAGGCAGCTTGAAGCAGCCTCACAATCACAGGCTCCTGGTTCTGCTGAGGGACTTTAACTACCCTGACACCAGCTGGAGAAATAACAAGGTGACAAAAGTGATTAAGGGACTGGAGTATCTCTCTTATGAGGAAAGGCTGAGGGAGCTGTGTCTGTTCAGCCTCGAGAAGAGATGACTGAGAGTAGACCTCATCAGTGTCTATGAATAACTGAAGGGAGGATGTCAGGTTCTGCTCGGTGGTGCCAAGCAATGGAACAAGAAGGCATCGAGTAGAAACTGATGCACAAGAAGTTTTACCTGAACAGGAGTAAGAACTTCTTTACTGTGACCAAGCATGGAAACAGGATCCCCAGAGAGAAAGTGGAGTCTCCCTCCCTGGAGAACCATCTGGACACAATCCTGTGCCATCTGTATCCTGTACTCTGGGATCGCCCTGCTTGAGCAGGGAGGTTGGACCAGATGATCCACTGTGGTCCCTTCCAAACTACCCAGCCTGTGATTCAGTGAAAATAAGAATTCAGAATAACAAAGAGAAGGCCTGTGTAGAGCCAGATGTTGAAAGGTACTTCATAGCATGAAAACGGCTCGGCCCTGCAAAGATTGCACTTTGGTATTGGATTGTTCCTTGGAAACAGTAATTTGGTATTTCTGAACTGATTTCCACATATACTACCCAAGCACAGATCAATGTCAAGGGTGGCTCTGTAGAAAATATGGAGATTAATCCCTATTATGGATCTAGGCTTCATTATCTGCCTCTTTTCACTGCAGGGTATTTTCGGGGGGAGTGTCTGTCTGTATAAAGTGATAACGTTTGCTCGAAGGCATAGTCCATGTTCTCATTTCTCATCTGGTTCTGCTCTTTGGCAGCAGAGGATGCTGTGAAGCTGCTGAAGCTCTGCAACCAGGAACGGAAGATCTCTGAGCTTGTCTCTCTTCTGAGCTTGGCTCTCTTCTGCCATCAGCTGGAGAACATGATCCTTAACGAGCAAGGAAACCCTACCCAATGAAGGTAGGAGTGAAGGAGGGAATGTGTTAAGAGAGGGCTGTGGCTTGTAAATAGCTTGGAAGTGCTTAATGCATACTGTTTATAATGAAAACGTTTAGATACATCCAGTAGATACAATTCAAGAAGAAACTGAGCTATCACTGCCAGCCTTGGATCCAGAACTGTGGAAAGAACTGCTTAGAGTAGCCAAAACCCCTAGGATGGTAGGGCCCAAGCTCTTTGCTGTAGCAAAGCTCTGCTCTTTCAGTAGTTTTTTTCTTTTTAGACACTGTTAAAAACAAGTAAATGTCGGGACCAAGACATGAAAAACACATTCCCACTGATTTAATGTGTTGGTGAGATTTTTTTCTGTGCTAGGTTGAATGCAATCTTTGATAACATCTGGTAATTCAGCTGGATGTGACCTCTGGAGGTCTCTAGTCCAACCCCAGAGGTTCAGTGTTCCCAGGCTCGATGAGGTTGTGCAAGGCCTTCCTTGTCCAGCTGCTGTTAGAAGAACCTTTTTCCTCGTTTTGCCTGGGCTCTTGCCTCAGCACTCCACTGCTCCCACCGGGAAGAATTTGCTGAGAATTTACTTTGCTGCAACCACATTGCCAGGTCAGTGTGTTGCTGCTGAGGTTTAAAAGCATGACTGCTTTACACAGTGGGGTTGCTCAGGCTGGATGCAGAAGCCTGGTCACGCTTTCACTCCCTGTTGGTGGTGAGGAGTGACAGAGTGTAAAACACTCAAACTTTCTGTGCTGAATCCTGTCATGTTAGCACCTTGTGAGGACCTCCTCTCTGGCAGCACGTTAAGGCTGAAATGTCAGCCAAGTGCTGATGTGTGTGAGATGCTCAGCAGTGATAGAAGGCAAGAAAATGACAGCTCACATTTTGATCTGCTTTTGCTGTGCATAGTGGTTGTATGTAGGGTGAGCCTTTCTGTGGAAATACTAATGGAAGAAGAAAACACTTCGAGTTTAGCCTTAGGGCCAAAAGGAAAACCTGGAGGAAAACCTGGAATTAGTATTGCATTTGCCTGAACAAGAACTGAATCTGAGGAAATGTACCTTGTGCTTTTTTAGACAGCTAGGTGAAATTCCAAGGTTTTTGCCTCCCTTAAAATCTCTGTGTCAGTTTTCAAAGTCAGACTGAGAACATGCATGGTGAAATTACTTTGGATATTTTGTCTCTTAGTGTATCGTCCGTTTTCATACCTGTATGTGTTTTGTTGAGAGGGTCTTGTGGTAGGTTTTGTTTTCAGTGACAGCAAAGCCATTTAGATTTGCTTTGTAGCCAAAATCTCTACTGGTGCAAGTGAATGTGATTCTAGGTAGAGAGAAGGTTGTAGGGCTACAGTGATTTCAAGAAGATTTGAAAAACTGGACTTCTGTCTGAAGTATTATGTAAAGTGACCTCTTATGAAGAAAAGAATGCTTTTAATTTTATTTCTTTTTTGTTGTTTTCCCCTATACTTTGAAAAGAGCTCTGAAGCTTCTCTGCTGCTGCTTGCATTTAGGTGTCATCTACCTTGGTTTTATTTTTCTTTCTAAGGAGAATTTTTGGACAAAAATGATATTAATAAAAGAACAAGAGACACTGCAGGGTCTAAGGTAGCAAAGCATGATCAGTCTCATTCAGACTGAGACAGGCACATGCTTTTACTGAGGCTGTTTGATTCTTTTATTTTGAATACTAAATTATTGCAGCTGCTTATCAGAAAATAGGAAGAAAAAGATGCATTGAGAACAGAAAAATTCCCCATCAAGTTGGCATTTCTTTTACATCTGAAATTAAAAGAGCCATTTTCATTCAGTTTATCACACAAAGCATTGATTGTGACTTCAGAGAGATTTTGAGGGCTTGCAGTTAGACAAGTTCTCTTGTTTAACAGAGGTCATCTCAAAGGTTTTGCATGACCGTACAAGTTGAATTAAGTTATTATCTCAGTATGATAACAGTGAGAGAGAAGTGAAAGCTTTGGTGACTGAACTGAAACAGTAGGTGATGTGAAGGTTATAAGAGAAAGATGAAAACCTTTCTTTCTGCATCTGTCATCTCAGTAATTTGTCTGGATGGCAGATCCATTGGAATCCTCCTTTTTTTCTTCACTTTTTTTAAATGCAGGATTGATTCTCATGGGTGTATGAAGGAATGAAGGGATAACTACAGAACAAGAAGCTGCTGGAATTCTTTCAGGCTAGCTCCTGGAAGGTAAGAGGAGTTACGCAGTGCCTTAGGAAGAAGTTTCTTCCACTATTGATTGATCACCTTTGCATAGTTAATAAAAGAGAAGTAAAAAAGTGAAATATAGAGGTTTGCACTAACAGGCCCCAAAATGTGCTTGTGTGCAGCCTCCCCTGGAAATATGCCAGCACTCCAGGTCAGGTGCTACATCTTCCCTGTGATGAGATCCGTTGTTTTCCCACTTCCTGTGTGCCCTTCCTTGAGCTCTGCCTTCAGATTTTCTGTCACACAGCACCATCTTCATAAAACATTAGAAATTTTCTCCAACCGTAGCTATTGCATATTTGACTTCATCCAGGAAAAGCCAAAGCATGACCTTTCTCTCAGGTTTCCAAGGAAAGGAAAACAATGAGCAGAAGTGATCTATTGGCAAGAATTCTTTTCTTGTACTGTGATCCAGGTCAAACATTACTCCCCTGCCCTAGTGTCACAACATTTTTTTTTTTTTGCAGCCACTGTAGCTGTTTATACACACTAAATGTAATGTTTGCTGTTATGAAAGTCCATCCAGAAGCCAAAATACATACCCTTCTGTCCTCCCTGGAATAACAGGTACATTTTTCATGGTTAAGCCGAAGGGCTGGCTGAGTTAGCTCACAAGTCTTAAGAGACTTGCATTTGCAGCTAATTCTGAGTAACAGACATACATTGTGGTAGTATAACTGAAACTTCTTTAGTGTCTGGGCAGCTCAGGATTATCAGGAAGACTAGAGGCAGGGAAGGATGTGATGCATGTGTTGAGAATTGGCAGAGGGTTTTAGGACAGAAAAGCAATTTCTATGGGAAAAGGTGCTATGCTCACCCTTGCTGACAAGGAAAGTGACCTATGTAAAGAATTGTGGACAGCACACGAGAGGGCTTCTGTGGTCATTTTAAAGCTGGCAGTTTGGGATTCATGATGGTCCCTGGCTCAGGTATTTTTAACCTGGTACGGTGGGACTCATTTACCTTCTGGTAGAACTGTAGGCTTAATGTACCATCTTTATCTGACCCTTACACTGTACTGCAGGGATGAAGTCAGGAATTGTATGAAAAAGAAGATGAACCGTTTTTCCTGCATCGCCTCCAGAAAACTAATGATAAAGCCTGCTTAGTCCATTATTTGCTGTCAAGTAAGAGGTATCTCTTCCCTCATGCTGTTAGTTTATAGAACTACAAGTTTTGCCAAGGCCATTATTCAATTATCTAACTATCTGACCTGACTAAAAGCAAGCGAAATCCAAAAGCAAGATGCCAGGGAAGTAGAAGAATACGGCACAATACTTCAGCCAGATACGTTCCCAGACTGTGTGTGTTTTCACTTTAGAGATTTCCTGAACCTGGTGTGATTGCTCTAGTTAGTGACTGTCAAAAGGTCTCTCTTCTAAATGCTTGTTCAGTCTCCCTTGAGAATTTTCTGCAGCTAAGAAATTCTCAGGCATGCAGCATTGTTGTCTGTAGGGCTTGCCTAGAACACAGCTTCTCTTAGCATCATTGATGGCTCCTTATTCTTGAATATCTGAAGAGGCAGTGAAGAGTTTTTCCTATCCATGCCATCAGACCTATCTCTGCACCAAAGTGGAGAATCATAACCTTTTAACTCCTTGCATGGTGACAACTGTCCCCTCATGCAAAGGATGTGTCAGAAACACATTGCTTGCCCATGAAAATGCATTTCTCAACCTGAAACTTGATCAGCAGGCTAGTGGATTCCTAAATGAATTCACTGCCTTCAGCAGTTTTTCTTCTCTCAAAACTCTAAAAAACAAAGAAGTGTTTTGTTACTCCCTGTTCTTGTGTCTGGTTTGAAAAGGAGCACTTTAAAAGGCTAGTTGGTAAAAGTCTTGACAGCACTCAGATTGCAGTCTTGCCTAAAGTGAATCACCACCTTTTGAATCACAGCTTTTACTTCCTTCATTGCCTGAATTTCTTAATCTTTCACTTCACCAAAGCAGAAATATGCCAGAGATGAGCCTGAGGACTGCAGAGACAAGTCTAGGCAGGAGTGCTGGGGACTGGGCTAGAGTGGAGAAGTGGAGCAAGCCCCCTACAGATGGGGGTACTTTGAGGAGAGAAGAAGCAGAGACAGAAAGCAGAATCTTCTGAGGAAAGGTTGGGACAGTTTGTTTGGACACTACTAGTGTTTTTAAAAGTTAGTTTCCAAAGTGGGCTGAACTCCTGCAAGGAAGCCCTCTTGGGTAAATGTGGGTTGCAAGGACTGAAATGGATTTGAATCAGTTTATTGAAAACCATAGAGTCAAATTCTAGCTGATTCTAGAGCCTGTCAATAACTTACTCTGTACAACTCCCTACGAGACATTTCAAAAATACTGATAAGATGTAGGATATTGTAGGGCAGCTGCACCATTTCAGCATTAGATTTCCGTTTTTTGTCTCTTTACAAAAGTTGGCCTTCTTGCCAGGGCAGCCTTGTCATGAGTTCTGTGGGATTTCATTGTCTTTTCAGCTTTTAATTGAAATGGTGTGTCCTAGACAATACTGGATCTTAGCGCTGCATTATCTTCCCCTTCTGGGTACTCCTTCTGTTTCTTTCTTTTTCAGTGTAATAAACCCCAGAGCCCTGTCTCGATGCCTTCCATCCCCTGTTCTTCAAAACTGCCTTGAAAACCCCTGACTAGACTGTCACATGCTCATCACTGGATTTCCCCAAGGGCTCCATGTCTTCCAGTAACACAAGTCCTTACAGTTGTTGTCCTGAGACTACTTTTTATAAGAGAGATGTTTTCTACTCATTCTTGTGAAACATTCCTGCAGCTTTTCCTCTCCCACAAGTTTCAAACTTTTTCTCTCTTCTGGATGTCCACATTCTTCACTAATGTAGGGTATGACCTGTCACAGGAGCATTGTGCCTGTTTCCTGGAGAAACAGAATTTCTCCCTCTGAATTTCTTGGAGAAATTCTCTTTTCACCTATCAAAAGAAAAAGTAAGAGGATGCCCTTATTTTTAAAAAAGGGGCCAGTGTGAAAACCATGGGACATAGGGTCCTACTTGCTCCTGTTGATTCCTAAGGTGGAGTGTCTCTTAGGTTATAAAGATGAGTTGCACAGTAAAAAATTAGATTTTAAAGTGGATTTTAATCCATTAGTTTTTACAGTCTCTATCTTAAACAGGTAAAGGGCTTCATCTGTTAACCGTGGAAAGTGGAAGGTATAGGCATGATGCACTAGCTGAACAGTTGTTCCATTGCCTCAGCCTGGTGTCAGTGTGACCCTTCTCTATCACTGTGATCTGTTTTTGTTATGTTGAGCTATAAGAAGAGATATTGGACATACAATATTAAGCTCTCTCAGAACTGTGCATCAAGTTCTGTAAACTTGTGGAGCATTATTTCAACTGTCCAGAAAATTTCAACTGTAACAGAAAAGTGAGTTATTTTTAGTAGTGTTGTAACATTTCTCTAGGTAATTCAAACCATATACAGTACTCTCCATTAGACTGTGGAATTGTAGAAGACACTGTTCTTAAGCATATTGACTCATTCCTGTTATATTTCCGTGGCAGTTTTGTCACAGGACTATAGTGATAATATCTACTGGATGACTTTGAGGGCTTCATGAAAGCATGAGCATTTTAGAGAGCAGACACCTTTACTGAAGAATAATCTTACCATATAGAAAATAGGCAAGGTTCTTTATTTCTTGTAAATTTTAAACTGATTGATTTCTTGCTAATTTGAAGTCAATGTTATCTGAAGCTTAGTTATTTCACTTATATTTGTAAAACACAAACTACTTAACCATTCACAGTTCTGTATGTTTTAATGCTTGCTGTATACTTTTTTGTGTAATTTTTGACAAGTTCTCCATCAACTCAGGTAGCAGGTTACTTTGAAGCAGCTTGCATTGAACAGTTTGATAGATTTGATTGACTTGTTTAATGCCACGGTCTTTGGATCTTGAAAAATGTTTTCCACTAGCATGTTTTCCAGCCCTTCTGGAAGTACTGGAAGGTGAACTCTAACAGCTGTCACCCATTAGTTCGACCAGTTTCTTCGTTTAAAGTACAAAACTCTGGGCTTATTCTGCAAGGGAGACCTACTGGATCCCTGAAGGGTTTGGTTGTTATTTAGTCAGTTCAGAAACTGTTGATATTCAATGCAATTCTTTTCTGAAAGTTTTCTCTGTATTGTGGGTATGGTGATGGCAAAAGATAAAAAGTATATTTTATCTTCATGTTCTTTGTTTTGTCTCTATATCTCCTTTTGTACTTGTAAATCAAGCCCCTGTCCCACAGAGGATTGTAGGACACACACTGGTGATTGTGGCTCCACTGCTGCTGACTTGGTATTCAGCATGTGGTCTGTGGGTGATAAGGGAGGGGATTATTCTATCATGGAACAAGAAGTCGGAGTGTGTACAGAAATTACCAGGAGCAGGCTTAAAGCAAGCAAAGACCAGTTCTTTTTACACAGCACAGCTGACATAAACTGAGATTGAGAGGCGCAGGGTGTTACAGAAACCAGGGGTGCAAATGAGCTTAAAAAAGGAGCAAAGAAAATCGTAGAAAGGCTTTTAAATGCACAGATGTAAAACAAGCTTCTGGCTCTGTCTGTCCCTGAACAGTGAATTAGTAGATCTCACTACGATGTATTAGAAGAAGAGTAAATTTTGCCCCATTTTTTGTACTCTTTCCCAAAATACCCCTTACTGGCCACTGTCAGAGGAAGGAGTCTAGTTTTTTAAAGGTTTGGTCTGATTCACTGTGGCTGTCCTTAAGTCACTGATCCTTAACATCTGGGAAGCAGGATGTAGCATTCATGGCTGAGTACATATTTTCTAGAGTGCAGAAAAAAAAAGTGAAAATCATGTCCTCAGCCACACCACAATCTGCTCTCACTTTGTTAATATGCAAGGTTAATCAGCATAAACACATCTGCTTGACCTAAACACACTCCTCAGAGTAAGAGCAGAAGTGCATTAGATCCTGGGATGGTTTGAGAAGAAAGAGTAAAACAACATCAAATTACTCTTAATTCTGCTGTGTTCTTATTTGGTTAGCTCACAAATATTCAAGGATAGCAAGAAAAATTATGGCTTCCAGTGTAGTCAAATGCCAGGAATGTAATCCACAGTTTGTCCTTAATCCCATGAGGATCCTCTCAAATGTTTCCAGTGCTTTTGGCAGGAATATTAAATTACAAAATCTAGGATGCTTGCCAGAAAGAGAAAATAGAAGGTTCACAATAAAAGCAGTGCCCCTGCTCTATGTTTCTGCAGGAGCAAAATGGCCTGTCAATATGGACTATAACTTTCAAAATAAAACAAATTTAAAGGACAATTTCTCCTAAGTGTCTTACAGCAATCCATTCCAGTACTAAAATAAGCACTGTTTGGTGCCTGATGACAGTTCTAGGAAGTAAGTGAAGGTGACTGAATTGTCAGCATATTGAGCTGTTCTTTTGAGCTAAAAGTACTTATCTGTCTCATTTCCAGCTCAGTCTGGGCCTCAATTCCACAGTCTGAGTTCTATTTTTTTTTTTTTTTTGGTCGGAAGGAACTTGCAGAATAGAGCAAGATTATTTCAGATCTCCTCTGATACAACCAAGGCTGGAGTTCAAAGATGGCTTGTTTTGTTGAATTTACTGTAAGAAGGTGTTTATCCTTTTGTAAATTGAATCCTTGACTATACAAGGAATTCCAAGAAGAGAGAGTTGGAGAACTGTAAGATCTTGAATATACGTCCTGCTTCTTTTGAGGCTTTGAGGAATGAATTACATGGAACTCAATACTTGCTTTATTTGTCAAGGTGAATTCCCATTTGTTTCTAATTTATAAAGTGAGCTTTTGGCCATGATAAAGCTGTTATGCTAGGGTGCTGGCACGGTTATATTTGCACCCCACTAGGGAAAAGGAAAAATTATAAACTCTTTAACTAGAAAATTTTCATCTTACATCGGACATGTTGATTTTGACATATTTTACTTCTTTCAGAGACAGTGGAATGGGTTGCCCAGAAAAGATGTGGATGCCCCATTCCTGGCTTTGAGCAACTTGGTCTAGTGAAAAGTGTCCCTGCCCATGGTAGGGATTTTGAAAGTAGATGATCTTTATGGTCCCTTCCAACTCAAACCATTCTAAGATTTTGTGTTTCTCTCTGTACCATATGGCTGCTTTCTGGGGTCAGCAGGGAAGAGTCTTACATTCTCATCCATTCTAGGCAATTCTCCAGTTGTTTCTGCAAGAGACAAATCACCAACTATTTATTTAGTAATACATTTGTGTTTTACTACTCTATTTGTATTCTCTTCCTCTGGCTTTACTGAAGAACTGTCCTTAAGATCAGCTAGAAGTTAATTTAGAAATTCCAGCTGTACCTTACCCAAAATGCACATTTTTCAGAATACCAAAGGTGTATAGATAGCACTTTATTTGCTATTATTTTAAAATAAAAGGAGTATGAGCTTCAATCTCCAGATTTTTTACAGTGCCCACCCCATTCAGGTCCATTGATGTTATGATGAAGTAAACAAAATGTGATGTAGTTACATTAAGATGGTACCAGAATTTATTGCCACACTGTTTAGCACCAATGCTAAGAAGTCTTCATGAATGGTGCTGTACTTTGCTGGTGCCTTCCACTACAGAAATGTACTATCTCAGGCATGAATGTCACAAGATCAGTCTTATTTTCTGTCAAAAATGCAGTGGCTGAAAAACACTTTTCTCATTCATATCAGACAGTTGGACTTTTTTGTTGTGGCAGGAAAGGGTGGACAGGAAGAAGTGTTGACCTCAGAGTTGCTTTCATGCTTATCTTTCTTGCCTTTTCTCTATCTGAGGAATATTTATGCCTGCAGCTGGGACTCACCTGCAGCTGCATGTCTTACCTTTCAAGAAAGACCTGTATAAGCTGTCAAATCTGCACCAGATATGTTAGAAGCAACATCCTGTATCACATGCATAATTGGAACCATAAATGACAAATAGAACACATTTTACACTTGGTGCTCAAGTTTTGCTGTACATAACCATGAGACAGCATATACCATGAGACAGCTATTTTTGTTCTTTTTTACAGCTCTGTTCAGATGAAAGGTTTTGAAAGAATGCTGAAGTTGAAAGGAAGGTGACAGATCAAATACGTGGAGGAGCAATGCACACTCTGCCTCTCTCGTGAAGAAGGTAAAGAAAGGTTCTGGAAAGCTTTGTAGGCACGAAGCTTATCAAACCCACCACACATTTTTCAGAGGAAGCCAGGCATGTATTCAGGAAAATGTTGCTGGCAACATTAAACTTGCTCAAAAAAATAGCAGCACTGCTTTCTAAATATAATTTCTTTTCCTTTTATGTTATAAATCACTAGTTACTTTAATCAAAGGAAACCATAAGATATATTTTTCTTGTTAACCATATACCTAGTGACCTTTTTTTCCTTTTGAAGATCAACTTGACCTTTTGTTAAAACAATACCACAGGGTAACTCATTAGTGTTAGGAGAAGGGGCAAGGCAGTAGCATTGAGAGAGAAGCAAACTGAGGTTTTGGACTTGTTATTGTCAAAAATGTATGTGGCCGAGTGACAGCATATTCAGCTAATTTCACACAGCAGTGATTTTGCTCTGTGGCCTCTGTTTTCAAAACCTTCAATGCTTAACTCAGACTATATGAAAGCAAATCATATACATCTACTGAAAAAGATACCTTTCAGAGGCTCTCTGGCACGTCATCATGTGGACCCCAGTTCTTCAGCTGCCATGTTTTCTGAGCACCTGTGAAGGAGCATGGACTGCAGAAACAGCCATTTCATCTACATGTGCTGCAAACAGTGTTACATTGTATTGGCATTGTAATGTGAGGGACTAAAATGCATAAATAGTTGAGTGCATGGGATATCTGAGGCTAAACCTACCGAATAATTAGCTTCAGTGTAATCAGAAGCAGAATACCCAGCATTTGAACAAGAAATGCTGGCTTCTTTTCTGGGTACAGACAAAAAATGAAACAAAATTAACTGGAACACAATCTCAGATAGGCTTGAATTCCTAAATGAAAGAAAGATAAAGGAAAAAGACACAAATTCAACAACTGAATCTAAAGCCTTCAGTAGGTTTCAGACTTAGCATGGCAGGATCCAGGGAGAGTAGAGCCCAAACATTTTTTTTCAAGACTTGTTGATATACATTATAGCCCTTGAGAAATTGTGGTAATCACCTGTCTTCCCGTTGAGAAGTGACTCTGTCATGACACTCTCTGCTTCTTACATTATGTTATGCAGGTTTTGTAAAAAGCCTTCACGCCCCAACTTTTAGCATATGGTTGCACTGCTTAGTGCTGGTGTGAAAAAAAACAGCAGCAGTTTGAGACTGGTTTGTTTGTTTGTTGTGTTTTTCATGTTTGCTGTTGTTTCATTATAACAACCTGGATAGTATTATGGGGTGCTTCAGCTGAGGAGAAATTGGTCATTCATATTTTTTTATTAGCATTCTTAAGGCATGTTGGTCCAATCATATTAACTGTAAACACTGAGCAGTGATTAATGAACTCTTTGCAGAATCTAGGTGAGTTCTGTTTCACATTGCATTCTGATGAGTACAAGGACAACTACCAACATTTTCAGAATGTTTGCTAATGCTGCAAGCGTCAATGTCTGGGACATTTCCTAGGCTCTGTTAAGACAATTTGGATTTATGTTGTCTGACCATACATCTTTAAAAAACTATTGCCAACCAGAAACACCGGCCATAGGATCTTAGAATGTGTTCACTTCTTAAGTCTTATGTGGAAAGATGCTGAGGACCTGCAGCCATGGTTCTTCCTGCTGAGAGCTACTTCCTCCTGGGACTTCTGAAAACTGGCAGAATGTGTTGCCAGCCGGGTATCCAAAAATGACTGTTTGAGTCATTCCGCAATAAGACCCTGGGGACTGAGCCAGGCTTCCTGTTCTGCATTTATGCAATGTGTAATATAATAGGGCTCTGGATCCAGTGTCTTATGAGCTATGCAATACACTAGATATTAATAGTAGTCATAAGTAAGGAATATGGTTTGGCTGCTTCTAACTTCATAATTTTCAAATCTTTCAGAGCTGAATGTAGAAATCCAGGTCTCTAGACCTCAGCCTTCATTATTTGAGCAGCAGGCCATCCACTGCAGTAGTTATTCAGTTCTAGACATAGCAGTTCCCCATAAAGTAAAATAAAAACAATGAGATGGAAAGAAAATACTTGATGCAGTGTCTGTTGTTTTGTTTACTCAGATGGCAATCACAATTCTGCACTGTGCAATTGGAAATGAGGCCTCCTACTGCCAGGTCCAATGCAAATATGCTGGAAGGTACAATTTTCCTCACATGATTCTCTTAAAATGAGATTGCCCATAAAATTTGCACTTGGGCACAGAGATTATCAGCAGAGTTTAAGAAATAGTTAGGAGATGCAACATTGCCCAAGCCATCCAAAGATTACTCAAAGTCACAAGATTTATTTAAAATACATAATAACTTAGGGTTCTTCTCTATTTACCATCTTGCCTGGGGTGTCAGATTTTTCAGCTTTAAATCTTTAATAAGGCTTACAAAAGACTACTTTTATTATGGCAGCTGAAGGTTATGTGTAGTCATGTGAGCTAGCCTTCAGACAGAAGAGCAGATACTACACTATTTAGCAATGTGGAGTAGCATCATTGTCTTTTTAAATTGCTTTTCAGCACCAGTGAAACCAAATCCAAAGATACTAAATTAATTAGACTGATATACCTTATTTCTCCATATAGAAGTTAGTTATATGGATACATCCGTATTTTATCATTGTCCAAAAGCTAAAGCATACATTTGTACATCAGAAGGTGGCATGTCATGAATTTATGTTGGCATTCACCTGAAATAAAAGTGGAGACAGCAATTCCAGATAGGACTTGGGATAAGCCTCTTTTGTTCAACTATGGTCTTGTCTATAAACTTTATCTACAGTAGGCAGCCCAAGTTACATTGGCCTGATGGCTGTCTTTATCTGTCTTAAGATCCCCCTTGGGTTTGGAGTCTGGATAGGGGGTTTTGAGGCGGGGTTTTTTTGAAGGGTATGTTAAAGAATCTAAATTGCTCTCATTCCTTATGAAAAAAATGAAAGCAACAGCAATTAAAAAAATTACTAACAAGATAGAGAAGGCTACTGTTTCAAGGATGGGGAAACTTGAAATCAGGGTTATATGAGACATAATTTTCTTGAGGTCACACCAGAGCCCCCAGCAAGGCAAGGATTAGAATGCAAGGTGTTCTAGCCACTTTTCACAGTTTGTTCATGCTTACAAAACATGTATGAGGGATCAAAGAGAGAGAGAGGGTTGGTTGTTTTATTCTTGATCCTGTGTGGCTATTTCATAACCAGTCTGTGGCTGTGTATGCAAGTGTTCAGATACACAGGAGTCAGTTCTCCCTTTTGGACAGCAAAATTCAGGTGTAAGCCGGGGAACGTGTATACTCTAATCTTGGCCTATGCATTGCTGTATAACGTTAGATCACATAAGCAATCTGCAGTGATGTAGGGACCTTACGGGCTGAGGAGCCCATGTGGCATAACATTCCCTGAAATAGTAAGCACCAGGTAGCCATGGTGTTTCTAATGCCAGCAGAAAGCAGCCTGTATCCCAGGTAAAGCTTTCAAAAGTGAAATGTGGATTGTATAGATCTGCAAAGTGGACTGACAGTTCCAGCCCCAGTAATAATTTGGGTGATGTATTTATTATTTTTATAGTAATTCAAATATTACCATTGAAGAAATTCTGGACTATCTTACTGTTTTCTTCTCTTAATTCAGTCTTATTCTTCTAATACATCTTCAGTTCATGCACATTTTCCTCCTATCATGGTTTTCTTTCTTTGCTGTGTCTCTTCCTATCATTGTGTTTTTCCTTCAGATCACGTCTGTTCCCTCTGCTCTTTCTACTCTCCTACCACATCATTAGTGTACATGAACTCAGTTTTTTTGGTATGCACTGCATGCATATGGCCCTAGCATAATATATCGCAATATGTGAAACCACGTGGTGTCATAGAGAAACTGTGTAGAACCATGTATTTATTTTTGTTTCAAGTGTGTTTATTATAATACCACGAGGTCTCAAGTAGAAAACTACTTTAACCCAAACATGTTAAGCTCACCTAGTTGTCCCTCTTCTAGCTCTGCCATTATTCAGTTTTTATTGATGCAGACGGACTGGAAACTGCCTAGATTAGAAGGAAACATCATTAGATATTTTTACCAGCAGTCTGGCTGACATAGTGCAGCAAGTCTATAATCCCAGTTAATGAAATGACACAAAAGCACTGCTTTTCTAAACAGTGTTAGGATTTAAGTATAATATATTTTATGCCTCATATCTCTTTTCATTCCACGTTGTGATCTTTTTCCAGGTCATGACCACATGGACTCTAATTAGAAAAGTCTTCTCAGGCAATTGTTTTAACTGTATTTTTCTAGGAAAAAGCCTGTATCATGGCCCTTCTTAAATAATGCAGGATTGAGAAACCAAGAGGAACATGATCAAGACAGTTGCATTAGTTTGACTCAATCAGTTTATTTTAATCAATGCACGTACTGTTTGTGGGTATTTTTCCCAAGTCATCAAGAGTTGAAGCTAGTTCAGTCTATTATCTGTGGTTAATTTAATTTCAGATTGTCAGTCAACTTTAGCTAAATCAGTACAACCAAGTCAGAGTAAAGAGTTTGATTGGGTAGGCACAAAACTTGGCCAGCTGTCCTCTTCTATGGAGCATGAGGATCATTGTTGAGATTCTGAAGGTAAATAAACACATAAAGAAGTAATCTTTTCCCATTTAGGCCTTGAAGAAAGTTACATTGATCAAAATGGAAAGAATGCCAACAATATCAACAATGGATTAGGACAATTGTGCAAAGACAGATCATCTTCTCAGTCATTGGCTTTGGGAACAGCTAGCTACCTCAAAATAAGTTATTTTCCTTTTCCACCCCCCGATCCTCCTTCTAGCAAGAACTGTTTACATAGGGGTGCAGCAGCCCAAGCTTTCTGCTTGCTGACTTGCAGAAGAGCTGGTCTATAGAAGGCTTCTTATTTTGTTCCCCTTTGTAAAACCTAACTTTCAGTCCAAATCAGAGTTAAGTGTTACAGTGGCTTTCAGGAGGCTTTCAGTGTTTTAGATCAGGCTCACAGATTTGGTACCATACAACAAAAGCATTTTCAGAATTTTTGGGGGTATTTTTCTCTTCTGTATTGATGGGCTTTTTTGGAGGGCAGATCTTGGGATCAGGGGAGTCTCTTTCCAAGTAGCCAGAGTTGGACAGAAATCAGGGATATGGGTGGTGAAAAGAAGACTGAAGCAGAGAAGCCTTTTGTGCATATATTATTCTTTTCACAGGGAGGGAAAAAAAGAGGTTAAGATACTTGAGGAGAAAAACTAAAGTATGGGAATGGGCATGCTTTAATGCAGAACAGAAAGGAGAGAGCTTGGTAAGAAAATATGAAAGAGAGCAAGACTACTGAAAAGGCACCCACACAGAAAATAGTTGCCCAAGATAAGAGGTAGATTGCAGCTCGTGTATGAGTAAATACAGAAGTCACAAATTTAAACAAATTGGTACAGAGTGAGAGTAGGTTTCCATTTGTGGAGTAACTAGAATAGCTTTTTTACTAGACTTCGCTGTTCGATTTCTCTTCAACTGTTAAGAAATTTGCATAATTCCAGCTGTACCTTAACCAAGAGATCTGATTTAAAACCCAAAATGTTCATAATGAAGAGAGGAGAGGGAATAATGAGTGTATGTGTGTGGCTTTTTAAGTGGGTGTTTCACTGTGTCCCATGATTGTGTCTTGTAGTTTTATTATAGAGAACTGAAGTATGATCCAGTAGATGAGACAGATTAAGAAGAGCTTAAGGCTTTTCCAGATAACTGAACTCTTTCTTAAAGGTGGCCACTTCCTGGGTAGAAACCTTCAGAACTTCTGCTCCATGGTTGAATGTTAATACCCAGGACTATTAAGTTTTGCCTCCGTTAGTTCCTTTAAACCTTGGCTATTCAGTAGAGCTGATCAGCCACCTGCTGTGGACATTCCTGGGAGATCCAAGCTCAAACAGAAATACCTGGCTTGTGAAGCTGTTCTGCCCAAACAGTGCACCAAGACTACAACAGAGAAACAAACGATCTGTCTTTTTTTTTTTTCTTTTCAATTCATTGCAGTTCCTCCTTTCTTGAGGTGTGTGTGGGGAGACCTGACAAGAAGCACTCGAAAGATGCTGGTTTTCTGGAGATGGTGTTTATGGGCTCTCACTGTTGGTATTAGCAGTCAGCTGGGTCAAGTGGCACAGACCACACCATGCTTGTTTTCTGAAGGTGTTGTCATTTATAGCGATCATTAGTGCAACTTTACACTCATCGAGTTACTCAAACACTGAAAACTTGTACTGGTTTTGTAGCTATTTACATTAACAGTGTATTTTAGCAATTTCTTTCTTAGGACTTTAGGGAGTATGATAAATGCTTGGTAGGTCACCCTAGCAATTTTCAGTGTTTGGCAGCTCTTGAAAATCTGAGTCATATCCTTTGCTGTTTCAAAGTTTCACTGTTGAACTCCCTCTTAGTACTGGGCACCTCCCCACTCCAGCAGTACCCATACCTACCTGTACACCACAAAACATTTATCGTACTATCCCAAGTGAACTCTCTCTGCAAATGTGACAGTTTTCTAAGCAGTCAAGGTCCGGTTTTGAGCAAAACTCTAACTAAATACTGAGCTTGCTTCCCTTGGTGTTTTGGGGGTTTGTTGTTAATATATATATTTTTTTTAGTGATTACATTCATATGAGCCAAAAGAATTTTAAATCAAGATGCTGCAAATCCACCTGTAACTCTTCCTACAAAATTGATGCAATTACTGCAAGTAATTACAAGTTAGCAAATTTACAGAATCAGTATTTTCTTGTAGGCGACAGAAGAACAGAACAAACAGACAAAATTATCAAACGTACTTAGTTAGTCTAAAACTGTGCTATTACTTCTGATAATTAGGTTTGGGTCTTTTGCTGTTTACGTAATAAATTTCTGGCGGATTTGTTACTGACAATTGATCATACTGTGCTTTGTAGCAAAACATGTAGCAAGATAAACCATTAGATGCAGCTGAGCCTCCTGGCACACGAATAAATAGCAGAAAAATTGTATTGTATGTATGAATAAGTTTGGGGTTTGATTTGTTTTGTCGTTTCAACACTGCTGTACCATTACCATTTTATCCCCACAGTTGATAAAGCACACTCATCAACCCAGTTACGTAGGTGTGAGCCTTGCCATCCTGCATAGGTGAAACCTGCAAAGAAACCTGTACCAATTTTGTCAAAAAAGTAGATTCTTTAGCTGAAAGTAAGACCCAATAACAATAAGAATTGCTTTATAAACTAGAGTGGGGAAGAAAAGTCCAATGATGGTTTATTTCTCTTTACATTGGTAATTTCAATGTCTGTTTCTTCTCTGCAGGCATAATTATCAAACATACAGATCAAATAAGTGTTTGCTTACTCCAAAGTGGGGCATCTTTCGTCCTTGATGTTTTTCTTTTGCAAGGAAAATAAAGAAGGTTCCGCTCCCACCGCTCCGGACGGCTCCGCTTCGACTGGGGGCCACCCCGCGTCCCCGGTTTTCGGCGGGGCTGCTTTTCGCTCCCTGCTTTTTGCTCTCCGTTCTCCGTGCGGCAGGAGCCGCGTTCCCTGCCCTGCGGGATCGCTCCCGTGTGGGGGTAGCGGCCGCCGCGCTCCGAGAGCCACCGCTCCTGCATTTCGCTATCTCGCGCTCTCTTTCGGCCGCGCTCTTTGCAGCCGCGCCGCCGCTGGCGCTGCGGGCTGCGCTGATTGCGTAAATGGCGGCTGCGCAGTTTGTGCCGAGAGCAGTTCGCGTCTGCCTGGTGCCGGGCTGTTTCCCAGCGATTTCGGAGGTACCTTTTCTGTCCCGCATCTGATCAGCTTAAAACTAAACTGATCCCCTTCCTCAGTTTTCCAGCTACAGCTTGTCCTGATCTTATTCCTAAACTCTGAAATGCTTTCAGAGTCAGCTGGCAGTTGTCCACAGAACATACTGATCGCAGCAACTGAAGACTGATCTGAACTGAACTGCAGTGTTGGCCCAAACCCTCTTTTTCCAGACACTTTGGACATAGATAGAAGTTACTGTCAAAAAGCAGGTAGTGTGTGTTGAAAAAATTAACTAAAACTGTGCAGTTTCAAAAAAGCCAAACCAACACATTTTCAACAATTTTGGGGTTTTCTTAGGTCACCCTTTCTCTTTCCCTTCATATAGCCTTGTCTTCTTCCGCTGTCTTTGCCTGCTGGTCTTGAAGACCTGAAAAATCCAAATGTATATCGTCATTTACGTGGGAGCAGTTTACTGTCTTGGTTCAAGACATGAATGAGCATGTGTTTTGAAGAGGTCAAACAAATCAGCTTTTTTGTTTGTAAAAAGCAAAAACTTTCCACTTAGAATGCCACAACATCATTCATTTGCATTCACTTTGCAGAAATTTCTTAACACTGAAAGACATTTTGATAAATCTTAAAATAATCTAATCAGGCACGATCTAGTAACAAGTGATAGTTAATTTGGTGTAGTTTGGTAATTATCCAGTTTGCAGGCATTTTAGATGGAAGAAAATCTGTTCAGAAAGCAGGCTGTATTACCTACCATGCTGAAACATTTGACAAGCAGTGAATAAACACTGGAGAAACAGAAGAAGAACAGCCTTTTGGAGTAGAGAAAACTGGAAACATGGGAAAGAGTAAAGGCAAAAAAGCTCAGCCTGGACAAGGTAAAATCTTATGAGTCCTTTCTGACAATAAGTCTTTAATCCTTGGTATGACTTCTGCAAAGACCACCTCTGCTTCTGTCAAAAAATGAAAGGCATGTAACTTCTACAACTGTTAGCATCCTGTGCTATTTGACTCTTCTGGAAAGGTCACAGGACCCTTCTCTCCAATAAAGTGGACTTTTGACTTGTAGCATCAATGATTCAGATCCTGCTCTCAAATTTCTCTATCATCTGTGTTATGCCCTACTGTAAATCACTGATTATGATTTCTTGCCAGCAACAGTGACACAATAGTAGTGAGGTAATCATTATGTTTATGGTCATGAACCCATCAACATGATGAGAGTTAAAAAAACATATGTACTTGTGGGATGTGGACTTTACTGTTGACTTTGGATCGAACTTTAAGTCAGCTAAAGGTAGATGTTCACTTTATACAGCGTTCTCTGATTTATCAATTGAACTCTAAGGATATACTTAAGCAAATCTTACCAGCAACACTCCACCAAGGCTTTCTTTGTTTGCTGTGGGGATACAAGGCTAATTCCTGGCAGCTCCTACCAAGCATGGTAATGGGAAATCCTTAACAGCGCTATTTATTTAGGTAGAATTATTTTGAAATAACTGTCATATATATACATTAGAGTTGATTTTAATAGATACTTCTGATCATCCCAAAGATTGTGCTACCCAAATTGGTCTAGCTCATGGGCACAACTGCATAAACTGGCAAAATGAAACTGTTTGTCACAGGTAATTTAATTCTGTAATTATCTTTTCCTTCTTTCTATATGCCTGCAGGGCAAGAATCTGCTCTGGTTCAAAACTAAACAACCCCAATAAGAATCTTCAGAGAAAAAAAAAAAGTCCTTGCTAAAATAGGCAATGAAGTGGATTCTGATTTTAGCTGTGAATAATGGAGGGGCAGTGCCTGGTTTTCACTGCTTCTGTTGCTATGACAGCTGGGTTTCACCTGTACTTGCTGGAGATAAGATACTTCCACATGGTCATACCAAGTTCAAAAGTAAAAGTAACGATGCAAACATCTGCTGTGCCAGGGAGAGAATAATATAACTGAAAGCTGCTTAATTCTGGTTATATGTCTGTAAGAGAAGATGTCAGTTTGCAGCCTTTTATCAGCTGGGTTACTACGAGCAATGTCCAGTTACAAAAAGCTCCTTTTTTGTATATATTTGTAAGTATTCTGACTTAGCCTTTCCGTGCTTTTAAGGGAAGAAGGAGAAAGGTGAAATGCATTTGGCTTCATATGATGCCAATTTTATGGGATGAATCCCACTCTATGAGGCATGGCCATGCAACTTTGCAGAGTGAGTTTGTTGTTCAAAAATGTCTATAAAACATCTCCTTCATACCCCACCAATTTATGTTGTGCTAAGGGTGTTTTCAAGTGATTTACAACTAACTTGAGGTTTGTAGAAAAACGCCAAAGAGCCAAAGGATAATGTGCCAAACACAGAGGGGCAGAAAGCATGGCAAGGGTACCAACGAGTCTGCAGGTTTCTGTCATGGCACAAATTCACAGTCAATTTGTATCCCTTTGTTCTCCTGCTAGCATTGTTGAGCTACTCTCAAAAGACAAACTGTCCCTGCTCGGTATAACCCTTCTCTGCATCTTCTCCAGGACTGCTTCCTTCTTGAGTGTGAGAGCACAAATCATACACCGTGTTCTGGGGGAAGCACCACACAGAGTTTCGCACATATGCATTACTGCTTCCCTGCCTGTACTAGGGAAATACTATCTAAGACATGTTCTTTTCTGTGAGTGATTGAAGATTTATTTCTTGTTTACTTCAATCATCTTTTGCATGTTCCAGCTCATTTGACTTTTGACAAAATTGGCCTTAATCCTATGCGTCTCTACTCAAAAGTTATCGTGGTTGACCAGGATTGTGTACTATTTCTGACTGCTAAGAGCCTCTCTGAATTTGTTTTCTTCCCCCCATTTATTCAGGTCTAAAGTGTTTCCCATAAGATTTTTTTCTGCCTGGAATATATACATTGGGATAGTTTTTGTATCTTTGATCTAGATCTATTCCAATCTCCCTCCACAGTCAAGTCTTCCAACTCTTCAGCCCAGGTGAATTTGCTAGTGAGTTTCCCTAATTTGATAGCTTGCCCTTTGCTTGTGTTTGTTATTCTGTCCATGGAGATAGTTGCTGAGTACTCAGTGCAATGCAGTTTTCTGTGGCCACTTCTTTTTTAGTGTCATCGTTACTAATTTGAGGTTGTCTCTTTTTGTCTCAGTGAGAAGGAATCTGGCAGCTATCATACACATGGCTAGCTGGGCCCAAGTTTATTATTAGAAGCATTTGTTGCCCAAATAGTATCTGGGAAGTTAAAATTGGTCATGGCACAACTCCCAGTAGTGTTTCTATAAAAACATTTCAGTGACAGACCTTTTCTTGCACCATTATATTTTAGCTGCAGACAAGAAAGGCCAGATTTCAATGATGTGTCCAAATCAAAAACAACCACTCCACAAAAAATAGAGGCTGTGAGCAGGTGGCTTGGGCTGCTGGAAGTGGAGCTTCCTGTTTCCATACAATAGGGGATTTTATGATGAATTAAATGATGGTGAGTTAACCGACAGATGGCTTTTAATAAATTGCAAAATCCGTTGATGTTTTCCACTTGCATGGATGAAATGGCTAAACATTGAAATGGAAGGAGTATTGTACTAAGATTGCACATGGCTTGGATATTGACCTATTGATCATATTCACATGGGTCAGGTCTAGCTTCCATTTGGAACAGGAGCAGAGCAGTATAAAAAAAGTCTGATCCATGAGCCATTGTTCTCCTGAGTTAAAGAGACCAAGCCAGCCTTTTCTGTCATAGAATTGCTCTCTTCAGCTTGGACTGCCATGAAGGGAGGATTCTTTCTCCTGTGCCACCAGCACAGTTTTTTGGGGGTTCCTACTGATTCTTCCAACCTGTGACAAGCGACCATTTGCTCCCTAGCCATGGACATTACCTGGCAGGAGTTGTAAGCGGGTAAGTCAGTCATGGAAAGAAATGCATTTAAGATTTTCCCACGTTTTACCTACATCCAAGACTTTGAGTGCAACTTGAAATCTTAAAAGAAACATGCAAAGCACATTTCTCAGCACGTCTGTGTCTCATTGAAATTAGCATGCTGTTCACATATGACAAGGCTTCTAGCAGTCTGTCATAGCATTTCTGATTTACAGAGGCTCACCTAACTTCTCACTCTTCTCCCTGGAATCTAATCATAGTTACTTGTATTGCTTTTATAGCCCTATTTTGTGTACTGACTTGCTACATCATATTTTCAAGTAAAGACCAGTCTGAAAAGTACCTGCCAGAAAAACTGTTCCCAGATCTTTGGC